GATTTACAGAATATATAAGCAGCTCATACGACTCAATAAGAAACAACCGAACAACCCAATCCAAAGATGGGCAGAAGACCTAAACAAGCAATTTTCCAAGGAAGACATACGAATGACCAATAGGCACATGAAAAAATGCTGCATATCACTAATTATCAGAGAAATGCAAATCAAAACTACAATGAGGTATCACCTCACACCAGTCAGAATGGCCATCATTCTAGAGTCCACAAATAACAAATGCTGGAGAGGCTGTGGAGAAAAGGAAACCCTCCTACACTGCTGGTGGAAATGCAGTTTGGTGCAGCCACTGTGGAAAACAGTATGGAGATTCCTCAAAAGACTAGGAATAGACTTAACTGTATGACCCTGGGCTTATATCCAGAAGGAACCCTACTTCAGGATGACACCTGCACCCCAATGTTCATAGCAGCACTATTTACAATAGCCAAGACATGGAAACAGCCTAAATGTCCATCAACAGGTGACTGGATAAAGAAGAAGTGGTATAGTTATACAATGGAATAGTATTCAGCCATTAAAAACCAACAACATAATGCCATTTGCAGCAACATGGATGTTCCTGGAGAATGTCATTCTAAGTGAAGTAAGCCAGAAAGAGAAAGAAAAATACCATATAAGATTGCTCATATGTGGAATCTAAAAAACAAAAACAAAAACAAAAAACCAAAGCATAAATACAAAACAAAAATAGACTCATAGACATAGAATACAAACTTGTGTTGCCAGGGGGGTGGAGGGTGGGAAAGGATATACAGGGATTTCAAAATTGTAGAATAGATAAACAAGATTATACTGTATAGCACAGGGAAATATACACAAGATCTTATGGTAGCTCACAGAGAAAAAAATGTGACAATGAATATATCTGTGTTCATGTATAACTGAAAAATTGTGCTGTACACTGGAATTTGACACAACATTGTAAAATGATTATAAATCAATAAAAAATATTAAAAAAAAGAATTTCTTACTTTACAAATATAAAAATCACCTTCTTGAAGAGCAATCTGGAATTCCTGTTAGTATTAATAATCTTCCCATAAGGAAAAGCTTTATTGTGCTTCAAATTCCTTTAAGTACATATCATCTGACCTGATAAATCACTTAGATGATGATGGTAGTTAACATACCTTCTATTGAATTAGGAAACTTTTTGCCCCATCTGGCAAAATAAGTGGAGCCACCTCCTGACTGGGAAAGCAAACCAGCATAAAAAGTGCATTGGAGTTTTTGTATAAGCAGTTCACAACTTTTTCAATCCTAGGGGAAAATTCAGATATATTTAATATGATGTAAATCACTTAACCTGTCTGAACTGAATTTGGTGTGTTTTAATGGAAATTTTTATTAATTATATGTTCCAATATAAAGTGATTGCCAATTTTTCCAACAAGAAAGGCCAAAAAGGCTTTTATAGGTTTTGTTTTTGACGATTAGAATATATAAACTTATAAGGGTATAAGTGAAATTGTCATCAGGTATCTGTATGTAACATTTATGAAGTATGTTTCATATGCACACTTAAAGCAATAGAAATGTTAGTTTAGAAATCACATTTTTCACAATTTAGGGAATAGCTTTTTTCTTTAACATTTTTTATTCAGTTACAGTCATTTTACAATGTTGTGTCAAATTCCAGTGTAGAGCACATTTTTCAGTTATTCATGAGCATACATATATTCATTGTCACATTTTTCTTTCACTGTGAGCTACCACAAGATCTTATATATATTTCCCTGTGCTATACAGTATAATTTTGTTTATCTACTCTGAATATGCCCATCAGTATCTACAAATTTTGAACTCCCAGTCTGTCCCTTCCCACCCCCTCCCCCAAGCAACCACATGTTTCTATTCTAGTTTTATCTAAGCAGTTTTATCTCAGTGTCTTAATGATGTCTGGAGCAACTTTTCAAGTCATCTGTAAGTTTTCCAGAACACATAATTTTCACTCCCTTCTGAAAGTTAGATAAAAGCAACTTTTTGCATCTGCATTTAATGTTGTCTCTGGAAATTTTACCCCAGGATCCAAGTATCCAGTCACCTAGTATTAGGATAATTTCTTGTCTTTAAAAAAAAGCAATATATATATTGAATATATCTATTACATATAATAGATACTTATATTCTCCATAAGGTAAACGTTTCCTATAAAATTTTCAAATTAATCATTAAATTGTTAACATAGATATGTAGTTTTTCCAAATGTGAGATTATCAACCCTAGTATTATGATTAAATCTGTTTTGACTCCTTTTTTTTTTTTCAAGAAGTGCCAGTTTTTTTCAGTTGATCTCTACAAGCATCCAAAACTAACAAAGACTGAGGTTTTTTCAGGTTCACACGTGTTCTCGAAAGAGGACTTTGTTTTTCATAATAAAATAATGGAGAGAACACTAAAAATATGAGAAACTTTATACAAACTGAAGCACAAGTTAAAACTGTTCTTGGGGGAAAGATAACTTTTGAAGAAAAACTCTTTGCCTTGTATCTGGGCACTTATGTTAATAATTGCTAATTTAAAGATAAAAATTAAAAGTACTGGTTTTTGTCTTTTGAAGAACATTGGTACTCAAAGCCAAGTTCCTAGTAACCAATCTGATCATCAGCAAATTGACTAACAATGGATCAGCCCTAAATGAGAGCTTCCAGGGTATCTATTATTTTCTGGAAGAATGCTGGAGTTTTGTTTTGTTTTGTTTTGTTTTGTTTTGTTTTGTTTTGTTTTGTTTTAGAAATACAAAAGCGTCCCACAGAGCCTACCACAGTGTGGTAAAAACTACATAGCAAATAAATGGGTGATTTTCTGAACCTTACCTCTTGGGCTATTGAAGAGTCTAGGAAGATTACTCAAATTCAACGTTTCTTTAGAACAATTCCCTATTTTTAAAATCAAGAAGCTCTACTGCAGTCTATTTAAATTACCTGCATTCTGATTAACAAAAAACTAGTGTTAGAACAAGAGTGGTTTTCCATAGCTGCAGTTGTGTAATTTGCGGGAATAGGGGAGTTCTTTAAGAAGAGAATACCAAGCTATGAATATGAAATTAGGTGTGGACCCTTTGATCATTAGTTTCAAGGTAAAACCATCTTCCTTTGGGTTGGGGATGAGAATGAGGGTAGGAGCTGCCTTTGTACTTATGTCATGCCATGCCAGTCCCAGTGGATCCTTAGAATCCATTTGGATGGGGTACCTACACTACAAAGTTAGCTCATGATCAAGATCTCATGAGAAGGTCAAGTCTGGGAGGGGAGGGCTCATTGCTACCGAGCCTAGACCGTTAGTAGAACCCTCTCCTTCTGGGCTGTCACCTATCTCCCATCCATCCCACCTCCTGTGTCTACCTAGAGGAAGAACCAAAGACCAACAGAAGCTAAACATCATCCAGCCAACCCTCTGGGTAGAAGCCTTCTACCTGAACTTGCCTGCTCTTTACCTCCC